ACGGTCACATGACTTCACGTCACCACCGCTAAGCTAAAGGAGGCTAATGTTGGGCTATAAAGGAACTACAGCACGGTCACATGACTTCACTTCACCACCGCTAAGCTAAAGGCGGCTAATGTTGGGCTATAAAGGAACTACAGCACGGTCACATGACTTCACGTCACCACCGCTAAGCTAAAGGAGGCTAATGTTGGGCTATAAAGGAACTACAGCACGGTCACATGACTTCACGTCACCCCCGCTAAGCTAAAGGCGGCTAACGTTGGGCTATAAAGGAACTACAGCACGGTCACATGACTTCACGTCACCACCGCTAAGCTAAAGGAGGCTAATGTTGGGCTATAAAGGAACTACAGCACGGTCACATGACTTCACGTATCTACCGCTAAGCTAAAGGTGGCTAATGTTGGGCTATAAAGGAACTACAGCACGGTCACATGACTTCACCACCGCTAAGCTAAAGGTGGCTAATGTTGGGCTATAAAGGAACTACAGCACGGTCACATGACTTCACGTCACCACCGCTAAGCTAAAGGTGGCTAATGTTGGGCTATACAGGAACTACAGCACGGTCACATGACTTCACGTCACCATCGCTAAGCTAAAGGCGGCTAATGTTGGGCTATAAAGGAACTACAGCACGGTCACATGACTTCACGTCACCACCGCTAAGCTAAAGGTGGCTAATGTTGGGCTATAAAGGAACTACAGCACGGTCACATGACTTCACGTCACCATCGCTAAGCTAAAGGCGGCTAATGTTGGGCTATAAAGGAACTACAGCACGGTCACATGACTTCACTTCACCACCGCTAAGCTAAAGGCGGCTAATGTTGGGCTATAAAGGAACTACAGCACGGTCACATGACTTCACTTCACCACCGCTAAGCTAAAGGCGGCTAATGTTGGGCTATAAAGGAACTACAGCACGGTCACATGACTTCACGTCACCACCGCTAAGCTAAAAGGTATCAAGGCACTTGATAGCAACTGCCGTTTTTAAATTCACCAGTGGGGTACTTATGACATATTTAATGTCATAGATTAAAAATCTCGTCAGCTTGTGTTAACCACAGACCTTACAAGAGCTAAAATGCTAACTCATTCCTAAACCACCCTATAGGGTCATTGACTGTCTTTCACTCTTCTTCTACAATCCCAATGCTAGTCAGGAAAGTCTTCTATGAAACGTTAAAAAACACTAAGCTACTTTGTCCTCTTCCTATCACCACTCAACACCCTCAGGTATCTTAATTTACAGAAACTAATATACTTTTTTAATTAATTTGTCCTAAATGAATGCCATATGGAGCAGTAATCCTAAAAAATGACATACATTGGCTACCTCTTCAGTCCTCTATTAGTTCTGCTTATTCAGGTAAACAAATTAAAATGTGTTCTCTTAATTATTGCACAACCTGCCCTATACTTCAGAAGTCTGGAAGCCCTGAGCATTTGATTTAAAGTAGACCCTTACAGTAATAAAAGCCATCTGGAGCAACATTTCAATCAGGGAAAAGTATTTCTAAAAAGCATAGATTTGCATATTCTGCTCTGCAACCAGCTACTAATAACTTAGAATACCTAAAAGATTATCACAGCCGCAAAATCTCATCTGTAATATGAAAGGAACAGAATGAAAAATGAAGTTTCATATTAAAATGTCATTGCGATTAAAAGCAAGTTATGCCAACGAGAGGCTGGAGAAATTGAGATACTCTGGAAATAAGTGTAAATAATTCACAGTGTTCATGCCGAGTGGCGAAGTTCATCAAAAATATATTTCAGAAAGACGAGCGTCACGCAAAATTGGAAAGACGCGAAGCAAATGTTTGACAGGAACACCCCTCAGTGTTTCTCATATCAGAGGAAGGCATCAGCAGAGCCTCAGACGTAATTGAAAAGCTGAGAAGATGAAGGAGATAATCCAGATAAGAGCTGGGTCAAATAACATCTATTTATTTTCTGCCATTGGCTTTCTCAAGGAAGCCTGGATACACTCCTCAGGCCTTTAATTATCACCAATTTCCATCAGACACACACACACACCTTGCCTCCACTGGACTCCTTTGTTTACTTCTGAACATCACTATGTAACACTCACGCTTCAATTGGCTAGTGCTCCAACACTTTGTACATGATGGGCTAAGGGGTCTCTTAGCGGTGGACAACCAGCTAGCAATTCAGAATTTTACTTTTTTCTCATAAGTCAGCATTTTAAAAAGAAAATATCAGAATATAAAAAAAATATATCAGAATTCAATTTTACTTAAAGGTCCCATGTTATGGCCATTTCTACTGATCATGATTCCATAGTTGAGGTCTACTAGAACAGATTTACTTTGTTCAATGTTCCAAACTCACATTGGTTTCTCATCCAGCATCTCTGTATAGTCTGTGTATTCACTCTCTGTCCTAAACGGCTTGTTGGAGCTCCTGCCCCCCCCCCCCCATGTGAGCCCAGAGGCCGTCTGCGAGACACAGCGAAACCCAGCCTGAAACACACACACACCCGCAGCCTGGCTGGGAGTTTGTGTGTGCTCACACACACCGACTCACAGCCTCGCCGCATCCCGCCGTCTCAGGGAGAAGACATCGAAGGAGCTGCAGCTGAGAAAAGATTGAGTGTGTGTGAGGAAGTCCGTGGATTGGTCAAATTTGTATTTCTTATGGCTCCATCTGCAGCTTTCCAGAGTCATTTCTTATGATTACATTTCTCCACAGGTCAGCAACAGCTTCAAAAAAACTATTTCCCTCAAAGAGAAAACCAAACATGCCCTGTTGTCGTGAGAGAAAGTGCAGAAGGAAACATCCATTAAGCTCAGTGTGCTGCTCTGTGATGCTCGTTCAGATACTTGGCATCTCATCTCGGGTGCAAGGTCATCAATGTTTGGGGTCAGGCTCTGAGCGGAGGAGACCCTCAGGATGGAGTGAAGGTGTGTGTGCAATATACCGGCGGGCCAGATCTAATAGCAATTAGAAATTATCCTGCGGGCCGAAATTAAATCCACCATGGGCCTGATTTGGCCCCTAGGCCTTGAGTTTGACACATGTGCTTTAAACAAATATTCTAATTGTTAGAGAAATAATTGTCCTAGACTCCTAGACATGACGTGCATGAGCAACCCTGACGTCTGTTATCTCCTTTAAGGAGATAGGCTGCTTCAGCCATAATGTTGTTGTTCCCATTCAATGACCGGGCTACCCTAGGTCACAGATGGTTTATTGTTGTGGGTACACTGGGACACTTCCTTCTCTGTATTTGTGGACTCCAAGGTGTGAAATCTTCGAGGCCATAAGTGCCAGACGCAAGTAACTCAGTGTTCCCAAATGTTTAGGCTATCTTCTCAAATATGTTGATTACTCTCTGTGAAACCAGTTAAATGGGCTAACGAGAGAGAGGCGCTCCAGAATTGACGTGGCAACTCTACCGTGAACCTCTGGCTCTTGTGATGTGAATTCTCCGGCCGAAGCTCCTAAATAAACCATCAGTGTTTGACATCAAAGCTCCTGCTCTTCCCGTGTCTCCTTCATGAGTCGGTCCACTGCATTGCTACACAGAAGTTTCCCCCACACTAATCATTTGAATTCATTTTTCGATGGTAATGAGAATTGTGATGCAGAAATAATCACTTTTACCATTATCCCAAATCATATTGCAAGACAGTTAAATAATCACAACTAGTTATCTATTCGAAACGTGCAGCCCTAGTTTGTTCTGTGAATGGTAACATTAGTAGGGATTCATATATTATAGAATGAAATATATACAATTTAAAAGATAACCATGTACATTTGAAATTAAGTTCATATCTTTGACGAAAGCTGGGAAAATCGGGTGACACAAAATATTACTAAATGTACTTCGGATTAGACGATTAATTTACTAATAAGTATTAATGATGTAACCGTTCAACTGATATTTTCCCTGTTAATTATAGTTAATCTTTTTCCTTATCTTGATTGTTTTTATAGTTGAACTGTCATTTATTTTGTTGTGTATTCCTTGTAAAGATCTCATTGCGTACTGCTGTGTATCTATCCATCTAACTGTCTATCTGTGTGTGTGTCAAATCATTTTCAATTCAACAAGTCAAATATCTTCGCAGCACTCTGAAATCCCAGCAGATATAAAGCATAGATAACTCATGGATTTCAAAAAGCTTTAAAAGTAATTACACCTTGTTCAATAGGCGTCACTCTGAGCTTTAACACTTCTGTGCCAGATTAGATTTGTTACCGATTCCCTTCTCTGCGACAAAATAAATATAAAAATAAATATCCGCCGTCAACTGATTACCCCTCAGGAAATTAATGACTGTAATGGTAAGAGTCAGATAGTGGTGATACCTCTTCAGATATGAGAAGGCCAATAATTCCTTCAGGGGGAAGATTATCTCAAAATGTTATGAATTAATGTGGCATCTGGAAGTGTCAGGAGTTGTCTGTGTCAGAGGAGGCTGTGTGTGTGTGTGTGTGTGTGTGTGTGTGTGTGTGTGTGTGTGTGTGTGTTTCAGAGAAAGAGATAGAAAGACTTATGTTGTAATGAAAAGAGAGAATCCTACACAAGTGACACTGAGAGTACCTCAAGGGTTTGTGTGTGTGTGTGTGTGTGTGTGTGTGTGTGTGTGTGTGTGTGTGTGTCTTCATCCTCATAACCCTCGTTAGGATCTCTATATTCTCACTCACGTCTCCATAGAAACGTCATTTAAAATCAATAGTCCTCCTGTGGAGTCGCGGACAAAATCACCTTTACTGCATGCAACCAATATCAATGTAGACAAAGCAGTGAGTGCTAATTGCTCCAAACTCGGAGAGCTGTCTCCTTAGTGGTGTACACCTGTCACTTATCAGACAGGTGACATAATTTCAGTCTCAGTCTGAAACACAACAACATTTCTGCTGGATTTGTTTTTGCAGTAAAGGTTATTGGATATTTTTCTGTGTGTGTGTGTGTGTGTGTGTGTGTGTGTGTGTGTGTCAGAAATCGTCCTCACCCCAGCTGCAAATCCTAAACTTCCATCCAAGATGCGCTTCTGCAAAGGGAAGACATGAAAAGGGCGTCATTATAATCTAAAGAGTGGTTCAGTAATTAAATGTTTAGGCCGACACGCCACAAAAATCTAATAGGAGTTTTGGATTATTGCAGAAAATAATCCCAACGTTTCCACATCATGTCCGTATGCTAACACCACTTTATGCTACACACTTAGCCGAGAGCAGCATTTGTGGTCTTTCTGGTCAACGTGCCCAGAAAGACCACAATGTCCCGGACAAGTGGGGGAAATTCTTGTCAAATATTATCTGTGTTTAATATTAAGTATCAGTGTTTCCGCCAGACCAGGGCTGAGAGGGCGTCCACCCCAAAGGGGGGAGGGGGGGGTGTTTTGAATTTTGACTTGGCCGCCCCTTTATAGATACCGTCTTTTTACGTTAGTGAGCCTGATCATTTGGCTCGGCTCTCTTAAAGCGCCGGCTGTGTCGGCTCCCAAACGGCTCTTCATGTTACCGCAGTTTACCACGGAGCCTCAGTTTCGCCGCTGCGAGGCTCTGGTGCTCGCTGCTCACGCACGTGCTCCACTAGCACCGCTCATCGCGTCCAAATCGCGCACGTTCCGTGTTGTCCTGTAGCAGGCACCGCCGATGTCGGGGAAACGATCTTCAATACACCGAAAATAATCCCACCAGACTCCTTTGCCCCTCCAACAGAGATGGAGATGTCCTTGTCCTTTTTCGTCATTTCAAGCGATAAAAACTCGATCTTCTCTCGAATTATTAATATTTTTGGACGCCCTCGGCTCGCGTTCAGGGCGTCCCGAGCTGAATAAGGGCGTCAAATGACGGCAAGACGCCCCCCTGGCGGAAACGCTGTTAAGTATAATGTAAAATTGGTAGGAAGCAGCCTCTCGTTGCTTTTGGCATTGATGAGGGGCTGGTGTCAAGCCGTCAATTCATCCTACATTTAATCCACTTTGAATTGTGTTTAGGGGGACATGATGACAGGATAGATCTTTATTTCTAGGACTTGAACACATTTTTCTGGTCAAAATCCGGTAAATGCTAGCTGACAGAGCAGATGTGGGATTGCCATGTTCTCACCCTCCTCTCTAAGACACTAGCTAAGCTTTATTACCAAATGACCAACTATTCCTATAAGATGGTTACGTTTTTTTAAGCTCTTTATGGATGTGTGTGTTCTGAGTTCTTATGTCACCTGTCTGCTGGAGAAGATGAACACCAGGGCGGCTCCAGCGGCGGTGAGTCCCCACGTGAAGAGGGTCCCCAGCAGGGCCTGGGTCACAGGACTGTAGCCTTCCAGCATGGTGCCACACCTGCACACACACACACACACACACATATAAACTCAGAATTTTCATGTTTACTTAATTTGAAGAATGAAAGAATTTTCCAAGATTTGAACTTTTTTCAGAATTTCCAATTTTTTTTATCAGAATTTTGAGAAAACAAAATCGGAATTTATCTTCAGCTTAATTTGACTTTTTCTAAGAATTCGTACGTTTTTCTCAGGATTGAGGAAACTAATGAGCTGAAGAGAAATACTAGCTAACAAATCATATTGTACAAACTCAACAAAACATATTATTTGGTGCCGTTCCTTTAAAAATATTGCAATAATTTGAATTTGTTTTGAATCACACCTGCACACAAACTCAGAATAATCACATTATTTAGCAACCAAAGAAAATGACAACACCACTGAGAGATCAATTCATCTTTCTATAGGTATGCGTTTGAGACAAAAGACATTTACTTTTTGGGATGTGGCAGATAAAACCTTATTATTTCATTCCTAAAAAGACAAAATTGCTGCATTAAAATCTTTCGGTAACTGCCCTACATTTAAAATACTCCAATAAGACCCAAGTAACTACTGTCCCCATATGAGCCCCAACACATGTACATGTTCAAGCAAAAACACGTATGTACACTTTATGTACGTTTATATATTTGATGACGAACAACGTGACGAGAGAACACCAACAACTCACAACTGTTTACTAGTTATACACGACTTCCCGTCGTTTATTGGTCAGAACTGTCAAAGATATTCCAACTTTTTTCAATCAAAATACTCTGAGATTTTCTCTCAAGATATTCCACATTGCAGATCCCACAACAGGGCTAATGCTGAGTCATGGTGTGTGTGTGTGTGTGTGTGTGTGTGTGTGTGTGTGTGTGTGTGTGTGTGTGTGTGTGTGTGTGTCTTTAAGTCCTCTCATTAGTAGTATGCCACACACCCTTGAACAAATGAGGCAAATCCTATTTGCTCTTTGAATATCCTGGAATTTTAACATGTACGTAGTCAAACCTGTATAAAGGGTGGGTCCATCGACTCATAATCTACAGCAGCCTGATAACTACTATTGCAAAACATTCAGACTTTGTTTCTAAATCTAATTATTGTCTACTTATTTAAGAGGTGTATTCATGTAAACAAGCTTGCCGTCCACATTATGTTTTTTTTTTTCTTTAGGGGTGGTTCAATGTGTGTTTTGTTAAAGAAAAGTACTGACTAATTGTAAGTGTTAGGCTGTGTGTGTGTGTGTGTGTGTGTGTGTGTGTGTTTTAGTGACTGCAATAGGGTTTTAACCGTGCAAAATATAGTCAGGAGATTTTAAAGAGTGAGTTAAGATCAAGATAATTGCAGAGTTTGAAGATTGGTGTTGTCAAAGCTCCAAAAAAATGCAGGTATGTACTGTAGTGCACACACACACACACACACACACACACACACACACACACACACACACACACACACACACACACACACACACACACACACACACACACACACACACACACACACACGCTTCTAGCTTTATGTGACTTTTTAAATAGGTCAAGATAAATGTTTTTAATGCTGTCAAAGTACGCTGCACAAACTGCTTTAATGATGATCTATAACACTGCTGTGTGTGGTATAACTAGTTGTCGTGTAATCGAGTTAAAAACAGACATAAAGCAGATAATATATGCAGGTATTAAACGTGAATCACCTGTAAATGACAGAAAACCGGATAACTTTGAATGGTTTAGCGCCTTATTTTATACAATTACGCTTTTATATTTCACTCAAACTTTCTTTGTGGCATTATTATACAATATTAATTCATTCGGCTTAGTTTCAAGTCGTATTAAATGTCATTTTAAGGTATTTTGGGGCATTAGTTTGAGGTTTACTCACTTATTTCCAGTAGCACCACGAATCCTCTGTATTTATTTCCTACTTCCCGTACACGTGTTTATGACAGCGTAAGTCCCGCCCCTGCTCGCTTCCTATTGGTCAGTTCGTTTGACAGGAGCAGCAGAGGCAGCGGTGACTTTTTAATACAGGAAAATGACATTTAATATTATAAACACACACAAAATAAGTGATATTTCAAATACAATATGTTTATTTCATTTGTATAATAAATAAAACACAGTTTTCTTGATTTTCAGTCATCCATCTCTTCCTATGAATGTTGAATTTTCCCATAAATAAAATTAAGAGTACAAACATATGCATATTTTCTATCCTATCACCTTTGAAATATATATATTTATCCTGAAGTTGTAATGTTAGCCCAGCTTTTCTTTTTAAATTCTGTTTAACAGCCGTTCTGGTATATATATACAGCGATTTTAAGCGCTTTGAGCATCAGGTAAAACGTTATATAAATACCATATATTATTATTATTTATTATTAATAGAACAGATTATATAGATAGATAGATAGATGGATGGATGGATGGATAGATAGATAGATAGATAGATAGATAGATAGATAGATGGATAGATGGATATATAGATAGATGGATATGGATAGATAGATAGATAGATAGATAGATGGATATATAGATAGATTAGATGGATAGATGGAAGATAGATAGATAGATGGATAGATGGATGAAATAGAGAGGAGAGATAGTTAGATATACTAGTAGTAGAGAGATAGGATAGATAGATGATATATAGATGATGGATATGGATAGTGGCTCTGGATTCTATGGATAGATAGATAGATAGATAGATAGATAGATAGATAAGTACTTTATTGATCCCAATTTGGGTAATGTTTGCGTTGCAGCAGCATAATAAACAAGGCAAGGTACATAAGAGAAATTAGACACTAAATAAACAGTCCAAAATATTTCTGAAATAGAAATAAAATAGCATTAAAAAGTTACAAATATATATACATGTGGAAAATATTTGTGTGGAAATATGGTATTTTTGGGGGTATTTTGTGCAGATTTGACCATTTCTAATGAATGTGACATCATCGTTTCAAACAGTGTTGCCTCACAGGTTTACAGGGATTGTTGTCGTTGTGGATTATGCAGAAACATCTGGGTTTTATAGTATCGGAAACAGGATATAAGAGTTTAGTGGACGAGATGAATCAGTGGCCGTTTCTCAATCGCGAGGATGCTGGCTTGGTAGTCGCGTACTTCCAAGTCACTTCCTTCAGAAACGAAGCAAGTATGCTTCCAAGCCACGGCTTCGGAAAACGAAGAAGAATGGAACAGGCTAACAAGTGTGCCACTCTCTCTAACGGTTTCAACATAAACTGTACCGAAAATAAATACCTCACGATGTCTATCTAATTATGGACTTGCTTTACTTTCAGGAACACATTTTTGGTGATAATAAAGTAACATATTTACCAACACATGTTCTACACCACTACATACTTACATTTAAATGTGTGCTGCGTCGGTTCAGCCAGTCTCCGCAAGGGTTTTAGAAATTGGTCCGTGCGCAAAGCATTGTGGGGATTTTAAGGACGCGAAGTCTACCCATGTGCAGCCTCGAAATTTCCCCCAAACCAAGGACGCGGCCTCGGTGGAATTCCAAGTATGCTGGAGATTTGAACAGTCCTTCGGCGGCACTCGATGACGTAGCATCCTTGAAATATTGGCTTGGAAGCGAGTATCCTCGAGATTGAGAAACGGCCAGTTACTGAATATTGGGTCTACAGGTCAAATGTCAACATGCTGAGGAATTACAACTGGGAGGTGAATGAGAGCAGAAATCATAGACATTTCCACTGGGAAGAGGAAATTCCCAAACAACATCTCCAGAATCTGATCCCTGACAGCAGAGTCCACACATGCAGCACACATGTACACAGAGTGAGACACGGTGTAAAAGTACACAGCTATTAGTACAGGACAGTAGATCATGTTGACAAAGTTTACTTAATAAGTAATAAGAAGATAACTCTCTGCTCCATAGCTTCTCTTAATAACTGGACTTAAACTCCCACTTTACATTTTACATTTATGTTCAATTTAATGTTGAAATATTTGGACTGTTTATTTATTGTGTCTTGAAATCTATCTATCCATCCATCTATCCATCTATCTATCTAACTATCTCTATCTATCTATCCATCCATCTATCTATCTATCTATCCATGCGAGCGAGAGAGCAGCGAGGAACGAGCGCGAGCCAGCCAGCCAGCGAGCGAGCGAGCGAGCGAGCCAGCCAGCGAGCGAGCCAGCGAGCGAGCGAGCGAGCGAGCGAGCGAGCGAGCCAGCCAGCGAGCCAGCGAGCGAGCGAGCGAGAGAGCCAGCGAGCGACCGAGCGGGATCGAGCGAGCGAGTCATCTATAGAGCCAGCGAGCGAACGATCTCGAGCGAGCGATCCAGCCATCTAGCAGCCAGCCAACCATTAGCTGCTAGCATCGACGATCTAGCAGATCTATCCATCCTCATCTATCAGCTAGTCTATTATAATCCATCGACAACAGCTCTATCTATCTATCCATCCATCTATATCCATCCATCCATCTATCCATCCATCCATCTATCTATCTAACTATCTCTCTCTCTATCCATCTATCTATCTATCTATCTATCTATCTATCTCTCTCTCTATCCATCCATCTATAGTATCTCTATATCTCTCTATCATACAACACATCCAATATTCACCCATTTTGTGCCACAGCTGCCAATGTATCATCCCTCTTCAATGGATGTGTGTATTTGCAGGATAATTATACAGCTGTGCACAATAGTAGCTCAAGAAAAGAAACACATACTCTTTGATTCAGATAAATTGACTGATGTTTACCTCTGATGTGCTAGATTACACTCCTGCTGTTTCAGTATTATTATAATTTCAACACCGGCATTTGGAAAATCTCCCAACATGGCATCTTTGAAGACATTTCTGCATCATTATCAGAGGCGGAAGAAGTACTTGGATCCTTGAAGCTGCTATTAAAATACTTTATTGCAGGTAAAAGTACTGAATTCAAACGTTCACTTAAGTAAAAGCACCAAAGTATTATCACATATACAAAAAAAAGTTTACAAAAGTGTAAATTGGATCTCTTCACAGGACCATGTGATCATAACATAATATATTAAACTGTGTTTTTCACTAACTAATACATGCAAGGTCATTTTAACTTTGTATTTTTAAAAAGTGGAGCCAATTTTAGACACGTTTGATATTGCCAGGACAACACTTAACCATTAAAAACAGCATATCATGCACTTTAATATGTAAAAAGTATCGTAACAAGGAGTGTTAAATAAGTGAAATGGAGAAAAAAGTAGGATAGTTGCCTCTGAAATGTGGGGGAGTACATTTTTACATCTCATTGTATGTATAAATGTCAGGACCTCGACACAAACTGATGAACCCAAATGCACGACCCAGAGACAAAGTCTTGAATATAAAAAAAGGTAAATGTATTTTTCACAGTGCAGGTAATCCCTCTTAACAGAGTAGGTGGTGGGAATAACAAAAGTCCTTACAAGGAGGAAAAAACTAGCATCACAAAAAGAGGACTTAATAAAAAGTTAAAGGTAGGTCATTTTGGAGAAACCAGCTCGAGATCGCTAGAATTTGAAAATACACAACCGGAAGAAATCTGCCTCTTCCTTACAGAGCCCCTCCTCCAACACACACGAACGCGCACATGACCAATGAGGGCACGAGGTAAGTTTGTGCCCAGATGGAAGGCTGACAGGCAGGTAGGCCATCCAGTTACTTTAGCCGGCTCAGATGATTGGTCGTGCTTTTTACAGAACTACGGCTTCAACAGATGAGATATTTTTATGTATTTATTGTCAAAGCGCTTCAGATATTCATTGCTATCGGGACGTTAAGAGCATTCCATGGAATATAACAACAAGTGTTTCTGAAGTGAATTACATACCCCACCTTTAAGCCAACGAAAAATTAACAAAACAACAAAACCTGACATGAGTGACAGCGATCCTTCAGAGCTGAGGCTTGGTACGACCATTCGGGGAAACAAAGCAGACGAACTGACACAGGACAGGGGGGAGACAGGACTATTTAAACATGAGGTGAGTGGGGACAGGTGGAAACACACAGGGGAGGAAGACAACAGGGCCTGAAATGAAAGACAAGAGGTAAATACAAAATAAAACAGGAAATGACAGACAAAATACATGAACATCACACATTTGACGAGACACAACAATAAAGTAGCATAAAAGTGCAATTTTGTCAAAATAATTGATTGTACTTGAGTAAAAGTACTTACAACACTGATCATACTGTAATAACAGGTAAACAATATATCAACAGCGGTAAAATGCCCGGAGCCATTTTCTTTTTACATTTTTGAGTATTTGTTTAAACAGGTTTTTAAATAATTGCTGAACGCAGCATGTTAACACACAATAAATCCATCCACTGATATATTTAGATTATACAACTTTGTCATTAATAAATCACAGATGTTATCGTGCAGATGGGATTGTTGTTCTGCCAACATCCCCTTAGATATTTTACATTCCTATGTTGCAATTGCAAAAATGTGGGATTTGTTTTACGCAGTGTTGCTGGGAAGCTCGAAGACGAAAATAAGGTAATACCAAGAAACAATAAACAAGATAAAAGGATTTGTGGGGTTTCCAGATGTCTAATGTGTCGTCGTCTCACTTCCAAGAATGCTCAAAGTATTTAGAGCAGCATGCCTTTCCATATGTATCATCATTTACTGAAAATACATTGTTATGAAACGTGTTTTTTCCAATATAACACAGTCTGATTCACATTTAACTGTAATTATTGTATTGCATGCAGGCAGCAGATGGTTTCTGTGTTTTTGTGTTCTTATAAACATATAATTAGATTACAACAGCATTTCAACAGAAACGAAAATTCCTTCATTTTGCCATCATGTTACCGGCATACAGATTGATTTAATGTCCACTCCTCTATGACTGGAAATGAAGGACTTGATAGTCGCCCAAACGCTTTTTCCCCAG